TTGTGCATTTTCTTATAAGCCAATAGCTAAAAGCTAAATTCCCTCTAAAAAGAAAGTATGTTAGCTAGCTGTAATATAGTATAGTGGAAGACAAAACAAAATATTACAGCAGAAACTAAACTCTGCTTGTTGTTGCTCTTCATGATATAGCTAGCATTAGCAACACGGCGCAGCTAGCTGCTACCGAAAGTTAGATTTCATCTTAAAGGAAAGTATGCTAGCCAGCTGTAATATAGTATAGTAGAAGACAAAAAATATTACAGCAGAAACTAAATTCTGCTTGTTGTTGCTCTTCATGATATAGCTAGCGTTAGCAACACGGCGCAGCTAGCTGCTACCAAAAGTTAGATTTCATCTTAATGGAATTTATGCTAGTTATGCTGTAATATAGTAGACATAACAAAATATTACAGCAGAAAGTAAACTCTTGCCTGTTGTTGCTCTTTATGAAAAAGATAGCATTAGCGTCACAGTGCAGCTAGCTGCTACTGAAGGTTTTCCTCTAAAAGTATGCTAGTTATGCTACCTGTAGAGGACAGAACCAAATATTTGGACAAAAATATCCTCTATTCACTTTACTTGCTAAAAGAATCCACACACGAGGACATGTAGTGTCTCCCCTACCATTATACAAGTGGGGCGCCCCACCCCATCAACGGAACCGTGTGCCCCGTCTACCGAACCTCACCCCCCTACTCCAAACCACCTGTCTGCACTGACATAACGCTAAACTAGCGGCTCGCAATGCAGGTGCACTAGCTAAAAAGCTAAAGGCAGCCTCTTCCCTCATGCTGAATCCTCACGCTGAACGCACCCCCACCACTCAAAAACTGTTGATACAAACAGCGCACAACTCAGATGTGTCTGTCTCCCCCCCCCCCCCCCCCCCCCCCCCACACACACACACCAAAAAAAAACCTGTCGGTTCAGACAGCGCACAGCTGAGATGTGTCTGTCTCTCTCCTCTCGCACACCCTGCTTTAAAACTGTTGGTTTAAACAGAGCGCTGCGCAACTTTAGACGTGTCTCCGTCCGTCTTCCCCGCCCCGCCCCCCCCGACAAAAATCACAGACGAGCGCCCCGCCCATGGCAAGTTATCTAGGGGAAACGATTAATTGAGAATATTTTTAACCTGTTTTACTTGCCAGGGTAGACTTTCACAACAGGTTACATAGATGTACAGAAGTTCTACGTGCATGGAGCCCAGTCACGAGAATCTGCCATGTAGCGTGCAAGAATTGTTTTTATAGGCTTATCAGCTCCCGGCTCATAGGCATCAGACTGGTGACCTCGGCCACAAAGCTGCACATGCAGGATCAAATCAGATCCTCCTTGAGCTCTCTGGGAGAGAAAATAACTCTCTGCTAACTCACATGGTTCATGGGCAGTTAACATTCTCAGCCATAGTAGTTAAAAAAAATCCATAAACCTTGACCAGAATCCCCCTGACAATATTACAGCAGAAACCAAACTGCTAATTGTTGTTTATGAAATAGCTAGCATTAGCATCACAGCACAGCTAGCTGCTACTGAAAGCTAGATTCCCTATAAAAGAAGAGTACGCAAGTTATGCTAACTGTAGTATAATATAGTAGAGGACAGAACAAAATATTACTGCAGAAACTAAACTCTGCTTGTGGTTGCCGTTTAAGAAAAAGCTAGCGTTAGCCTCACAGCGCAGCTAGCTGCTACTGAAAGTTAGCTGCTTAAAACCCTTGTGAGCCATCACTCTTGAATTAAATTATGGCTTCTGAGATTTATCATCTTTAATTTTTGGCACTAGCTAACCATGATGTTGGTTAATTATTGTAGTGTGTTTCAACATTTGTGTAGCTGAGTGTAACATTAAAACTAGTAAGTGATTACAGCCTTTAGAAAACCCCTGATTTCTCCTAATTCACTAGTGTTTCAAGTTTGTGAAACACTAAAAACAGTACCATCCTGCAAATGGCATAATCATTTGTTTGTGCTTGTACTTGTGTATAGCACGAGTGCCAGTTAACACACAGCACCCCTCCACCCCACTTGAAACAAACAAAAAAACCCGCATCCTTTGTGTCGATTCCAAACAGGAATCGGCAACGTAACAAGCTCTTAATTTAGTCCGCTCTTGTCTCGCACTATAAAGGCAGACATCTCTCAGACGCCACGCTTCCACTTCAAAACGTGTCTTTTCTTCAAAACATAGAAACCCTAAGAGGACTTCCATACCAGCTGTAGAGATCTGAGACTTGAGTTTTCGACAGAAACACAAACTGCATTAGCTTTCAGTGCAGCTACTCCTAAACAGAAGAACTTCCAGAGTTTATTTGTAGCTTCCACAATCTTTTCTTTATCTTTACTTCTAAACCTGTTTATTAACCCCGCGTTTGAAAAGCCAGGGTTCTCGCCGGCTGCCTGTAGCGTTATTGCCTTATTGATTTTAGTTGGTTTAACACAAATTAAACCACCATCTGTGGCGCACAGTGACGGTTCGTAGCGGTACCTTTAAATAGGCCCCTCCATAAATCACACGGTGACCACAGGAGGAATAACGAATGCGGTCCTCTTGGTAGGATGTTCCTACACGGTACACATTCATCACATGCTGATCAGAGCTGCAGAACTGTTCTGATCTCTGCCTGAATCACTCGTGGCCCAAACAAATCGCTGAATTCTGATTGTGAATATTGAACGCTGTTATGGTCCCGGTGCCATAATGCTTTGTTTTTACCACTTGAGTGGTCTTAGATGGGAGAATATTGCTTTCACATGTTTCAGATGCTTAGAGGCAGAATGAATCATTGAAGAGATTAAGCCTGTGAAAGCCCTTTGAGGATTAAGTCCCTTCCCAATATAGCATTTCTCACCGCACCGGGGAAGATACAGTAACATGAACTAGGTCACACAATGTATTTGTTTAGTTCCCCGATGTGCGCTAATCAAGTTAATCAGATAATCTACGATCGGTCATGTGGGAATGCGCTGCTTGTTCGTCCTAATCTATGCTGTTTTTACGCATTACGATGGACTCACAAGTATGAACTTAAACGGAAAGGTGCACGAATGAGGTAAACTGATCTGATGGCTAATTATTTATGATGACCGTCTCGTTTCTGTTGTAAATCCATGGGAATCTGGAGGTTTGAGCATATTTGTTGGGAGCGCAATGTTCTTACATGAGACACAACTCCCAAACGTTGAGCCGTGTACCGTGGAAAAAAATTACGTTTAATATTTAAAAACCCGGAACGGCGCCTGAAAGCTTTTCCTCCTTGGTCTGTTTTAGTGTTTTTGTTTGTCCATTGAAAGGCAGACGTATCATCTCCACTCGTACATCCGTAAACTTTCTCTTGTCCCGCCTATAACTTCTGATTCGCTCAAGATAATTTGGCAAAACTTCAGACACGCATGCATCATTGCTAGATGAAGTGCCTTGTACACGTTCATCTCCATAGCTCTAAGGACAAGGTCAAAAGTAAAGGTCAAAGGTTTTACAAGGCTACACCGCTTTAGCTAAAACAGGAAAAAAAATACCATAACTCGGCCATTTTTAGAGCGATTCAGATGAAATTTGGTGTAGTGGTAGCTGAGGGTGATCCCTATCACATACTGAATCCAAATAAAAAAAATCCAAGATGGCCACCTTAATTAAAATGGAAAAACAAGATAACTCGGACATATTTAGTGATATTCAGCTGAAATTCGGTATACTGTTAGCTGAGAGTGAACCTTATATCAACATTTTAAATCTGCAGCAGCCTGACGGTCCCCGTCAAAGTTTCTCCAGGGTTTTTCTACTTCTTTAGTTACTCTTCTAACAACCACCACAACAAACAGCTGATTGTTCATCTCTTGAGTCCACCACAAGTTATTTTAGGACAGCATCAATTTACTTTGGTTATGGACGCACTCTGTCCATTAACACGTCAGTCTGCTCAGAAAGGAACCATATTATTCCAAATTGAGGTTAGTCGCACAGGTAGGATATTAATTTTTAATAACTCTTTCACAGAACCCCACTTGAAAAGAACCCTTGAAGCAAAAAGCGAAACACGTGTTCAGTCGTTCCAGATCATATAAACGAATCACGTTTATTTTATTGTGTTGAAACTTTGACGAGATGCTTTTTTTGTTTTATCATTCCTTGAAGGATGTGAGAAGTCCTTGTATTCCTGAAGCAGCACCTCCAGCAGGCAACTTTTCACGCCGAACGCTTCCTGCCTCTCCATCATGGGTATTGCACTTGCTTCCATCCGGTTCATTTCGGCTCGTGTTAACAGCCGGTCGGAGGCTTCCTGTCTTTGCAGAAAGATGCAGACCGCAGCAGGGTCTGCGCCGAACGTCCCGCTCGTGGGCCCAGCTGTCAGTCTTCATTCGCTTTATTAAATTATGAGAATAGATTCTGCAGTCTCGGGTGCATTCCTCCCCTCCGCTCCTCTGTTGTGATATCTCACGTGCAGCGAAACGGTAAAACTAACGTGTTTAACATCAGTGAAGATTGAGGCCGGTCGGTTAGGAAACGCTGACGTAGGCTGGATTCCAAATCAAGTATAAAAAGCTTTTTTTTTTTCGAGTGCTTTAAGTGTAGCTTGATATTTTGAATTCTCTGAAAATGAAATTTAATGATGACAGTGTTAGATCAGCAGAATACCGCTGGAGGCTTCAATATTTCTGGCTGATATGATAACCAGGGATGAGAATTGCTAATCTCCTCCTCCAGAAAGGGAAATAAGAGATGAATATCTTTTTTTTTTTTTTTTTGCCTCCTCCACTGAGGCAGTTTTTAGCTTTGAAAAGAAATGATGAAAGTGTTGAACTGAACAACAAATGTGCTGCAGTAATCATATTTTATTTCAGCATCCATTATTGTCTTATTTGTCTGTGTTGGAGGCTCTCGGGATAAGTTTGGGAAATCACTTTGATTTTGAGATGGAGATCAAAGTCGGGATGACGGATGAGACGGAGATGAAAGCTGAAGACCTGTTTCTCCTTGTCCCGGTGTGTGTCTGTCTGCGTAGGTGCTACTTTCGACGTGGCCATGCGGTTCTTGTCCGAATGTCCGTGGAAGAGACTCCAGGAGCTGAGAGCTTTGATCCCGAACGTCCCGTTCCAGATGCTGCTGAGAGGGGCCAACGCTGTGGGCTACACCAACTACCCCGATAACGCCGTCTACAAGTGAGTCGCTGCGGCGCACACTCTCATTTCATCAGGCTGTTTGTGTCCCAGTTCATGAACAGATCGAATCCTGTTTTACTTTCAAATCTTCTGCCTTTGTTTATCCAGCAACAAACTGTAAACAATCAGCGGTGTCTAAAACATTTAAACCAGTTATGATTTCTTTATTCTTAACTCCCAGTGACCCAGACTTTCTTATAACTTGTAAAATAATCTTGATGAGTACCGTATTGTCCAGACTTTTAAGTCGCACTTTTTTCATAGCTTGTCCAGTCCTGCGACGTATAGTCCGAAGCGACTTAAATATGTATTTTGTTTTCTATTCATGACGCAATTCTTGACTGACGGGTTAAATGTTCATTCACACTGACATGAACCAAAGAGTAAACATTTACAGCTGTGAGGGGGCCCTCTAGGCTTTTGACAACTATATGTTGTTCCTCTACCGCTAACTCCACCTTGAGCTGTCATTTCTAACCCGAACCTGGAGCCTGGCCCTGCCCGACCCAGATTCGGACTGGGCCATAATAATGTGCTTAATGTGTGGGCCGGGTCGGTGTCGGAATTTATGCGGCCGACGATCCAATATATGCAAACATGGCTTGCCATACTACACCTGCCGAACACGGCCATTTCACCGCACGCTGACCAGCCGGTTGAAAGAAGTTATAAAGTTGAGTTAAGCTTCAGATGGATTACTGCCAGTGACCCATCAGCCCAAATGGGCGTTCATTCAGCCGCTGCACTCAGCGGACACTCGCGGCCGATGACCCAAACAGGTGAGTTCACAAAATATCCGACATGTCCGAGCAGGATGCAGGCAGAAGCAGGGGAAGCATTTAATGCGCTTTGGAGGCTCCTCAGCTCTGATCTTCTGCCCCCTCAGCCACGCACGTCCGCCAACCGTTAATAATAGTCGTGGTATAAACAGTCAAAGCTGAATTTAAAATTTCGGGTGGGGGGGGGCAGGTTCGGACCTGTAATTACTGTTAATTCGTCGGATCGGGTGGGGTTTGGAGATGATGGCTGCGTGCTGGGTGGGGTCCGCTCAGTCTGCCCGGGGATTCAACCCGGCGGAAGAGAGGACCGCTGGCTCCCGCCGGGCGCATTTCCTTTGTGGCGGTGCACTGCAACTGACTGTCGGTCAGCCTGGAAGAGTCCAGGGCCGAAGGTGGCTCGCAGCTCCGGCAGTGAGCTATACAGCGCCCCCACCCGCACATCGGCACTTCTCAGGGCCACGGACCATGTGCCTCACTGCGCCCTTCCTCCATACTCCGGTAGCAGGACGGGGCCCCACCAACCAGGATGGACTGTTCTCGGTGCGACCCGACTGCGCTGCCCAGGATGGGGACCGACCCACATTTCCCGGGCGGAAGGGGTCAGCGGTGACACATAAATGCGGCTTAAACTCCGAAGCAACGTATGTTTTTTCTTTACAAGAGGCATTTTTTGGCTAATGTGACCTATACTCCGGAGCGATATATGGTGCAGAAAATGTTATATCTGGAAGATTTCTCAATAATCCATGTAGATAAATCTAACAAGATTAAGTTAGGTATTCTTCCCGAATTGGAGAAGAATTCGTTCAGAGGACCTAACTTAACTTTGTTAGCCAAAATGGCCGCGCTCAGCCGAGTTGTAGCTTCACAGGCTCCCGGTGAATTTAGTCTTTTTATGTTCCCGTTGTATGTTCTAGTGATCTGATGGCTGCTTGCTATTCACAGAGGGCTGAGTGATACTAGCAATCACAGCATTGTAAGAGGGGGACAGTTGAACCCGGAGGCCTCCACCCCTGTTTAATGATGGTTTCTTTTCACAAAGATGGCCTCCTTTACTCCTCTCTCAAACCATCGTTCCTCTCTGTCCAGGATGTGAACATCTTCATCCCTGAAAGAGTGACCTCTGGCCTGGAGATGAGTGTAGACCACGGAGTCCTGGCCTGATGTTGTTGCTCTTCTGTGCTGGTCCATCCTTTTGGCCAGTGGCTGTTGAGTTTCCCCGATATAAGACCGATCACCCTCCTGACACTGAACAATATACACAATATTACTCTGTTTGTGCCGGGGGACTGGATCTTTGGGATGAACCTCTTTTTTTTAATGTATTTTAGGGTTTGAAAGCCACTGGGACGTTGTGTTTAGCAAATAAACGTCTCAGTTTCTCTGAAATGACCACTCACTGGTCTAAGTCTGGGTTCCTCCTTTTCACCTGATAGCTGGAAAAAGATGAAAAGGGTTTTTTTTTAAATATTGAAAAAAAATATTTACAAGATAAAAATCATACAGCAGCACGTTGTTGCACATCTGCACACAGTTGAACATAATAAACTAATTTAAACTAAACATATTTTAAAAAACATTAAAATGTAAATCAGCAAGGTATGAGTGCGGTGAATCAACATAAATCAACATGTACAAATATTTTGAGTTGTATTTTTATTTAGGCACTGAAACGTCCCGTTTGTTTACGTCATGGGGCGGGACTTAATAAATGTGCAGCATCCGGCCAGTAGGGGGCGCTCATTGTTGTCTTTATTAATATTAGCTCATAGTCGAGTGGCTAAACAAACACATCTGGTATTTGACTGGTAATCTGCAAAACAAACTAAAGAAAAACTTTAAAAGACCATCAGAAAGAATAGAGACGTTTAAATAAATTTAATAGTTTACAGGAAAGCTTGGATCCTTGGAAGAAAGATAAAAACCTTCACGGCGCTTCAACCGTGCGGTCATGCGTACGAGCTGCAGATTGTTAGCGTGGTCTTCATTGTGAAGTGCAGATTTGAACATCCCGGCAGAGCCGCTCAGCGTCTGAGCCGTTCTCAGCTTCTTTGTTAGCATTTTTTTTATAAACGGTGTTGGAAATGGTTTTATTGAGTTATGACAAAACATCAGTTTGAATAAGGTTTTGTCAAAACCAGCTGCTCCTCCGTCTGTTTCCAAGTCTGGTATTGTCCTATCGTTTTGAGATGTTCTCGGAAAGGGTTGTTTCCATGGAAACTAAATGGGCTGCAAGCAACTATGTACAGTTTGTCTGTTGAGCTGGGGTTCCTTTTCTTTTTGTAGAAAATTAAAATTATGGCTAATAATAATAATAATAATTGCACAAATTATTACCCCCGACATATTCAGCAACGGATACAAGATAATTTTCTTTACATGACAGCAGATACCTGTTTCTCTCATCAATTAGAATAATAATAATATTTAACTAAGTGAAATATTGAATAAACTTAATCTGGAACCCTGAACGTTTGTCTCCAGGTCTTCCTGTTTCCGAATTTAATACTTAAATATCACTTGTAATTAATGTGTTTTTTTTTTTAATTAATTTTTAGTCCAGATTGTTTTTTAAAAGTCTGTATTAATAAATGTTATCACATCAAATAAAATATATTTATAGATCACATTTAAACATAAATGTTGTTGGTTAACGTACATTAATAGTAAATGTATGTCTTTATTTTTAAAACACACACAATAATGCACATTATAGTTCCTGTATAGACATTTTTCTTCTCTGAAATGTGAGAACCGGTTTAGTTTGTGTTCCAGATGTTTCCTCATGGAGTAAAATAATGAAAGAGGAATAAATTAAAGCTCGAGCCGAGTGGTTTTATATTTGTAGGCTCTGCATCGTCTGCCCAGCGACAACTGGTCCGATTTGGAGAACGTGTTCTGGGAATTAGTAATCAGTGTCCTACCTGCGGTAGATAATTACATGTCAGTTTGAACTCTCAGGCAAAAGTTAGAGCTAAAGTTATCCCTTTAAGGCCGTGGTCCTTAAACTGAGGTACAAATACCAGTGGTGGTACTCAGAATCCCTCTATTTGTACTTCGAAGAAATATATCAACTATTTAAATGTTAAATTATTCGTAGAAACTGGGATGAATGGTGTTCTAGTGGTTACTTCAGCAGCACCACAAGTCTCTGTAGGTCAGTGCTGTTCAAGTGGTGGCCCAGGGGCCACATCTGGCCTGTGGGTGAGCTCAGTCCGGCCTATTGATGCGTTGTTTTTTTTTTATTTTTTATTAAATGTTAAGCCAGAAAACAAAAATCTGTAATAATTTTTTTAAAGCATCTGAAATTATAAAAAAATTTTGTGAGAGATGATCCATGACCGGACCGTGCAACTCACTCAACCTGCCAATAAGAAATGATTTAAAACTAGATTTAAAATCATAAACTAAATTCGTGTTAAGAGACAATAATTACCAGATGTTCCAGACCAAGCAAACACTCGTCTCAAAAACTACAAACATCCACTGTTCAAGCCCCTCAGCAACGGGGGACATGGGCGTAGCGCTCGTCTGCACAGCCCTGCTACAGGTCGCCTAAAACAGGAACTTTAGATCGAGTCGTCTTGTTCAGTGGTTGAGACTGAACCATAGAACCATCACGTCTTAAGTTCCACCATCCAGCCAGGGTTAAAGTTCAGGGTTTGACCAGTTCGCTTGTTTATGTCGCATGTGAAACGGTGGTTCTTTTTCTAGAAGGTTTGAGAATCAGAATCAGAATAAGCTTTATTGTCATTGCACCGAGAGACGACGAGAACGTGTGCATGCAGTCGTCCGGAAGATGGACGGAGTGCACGAAGCTGCTGCTGCACTGAGCGCGGCCTTCTTATCCTCATCAGGTAATAATCTTAGATAGGAAAAGGGGGAGAAACATGAGGGTAGATAGTGGTATTACAAAAAAAAAAAAATGTCACATCTTGTCTATCAGCTTTAAAGATTTAAGCCCATTTTCTTTAAAAAATATCTAGTTTAATTAACTTTAAACTCCTCAGAACCTTCTGACTGAAGAATTACTGATATCGTTTGTTCTTATCAAATGATTTGAACAGTTTTTACAGAAAGAGTCTGACACGAAGCCCCCCCACCACCACCACCATCACCACCACCACCCTGACCACGTCTTTACAGAAAGTCTGTTTTACAGGAAGCAGCTAACGAACACGAGCGCATCACGTTTAATCACGTCGGTTTGTTTGATGCGTTGCTCTCATCGTGCTCGCCAACTTCACATCACTCGTTCACCTGGACGCTCCCAATGCACTATGGGCCATAAATACTCCTCTACACACACACACACACACACACACACACACACATGCATGTAGTGTGATTCCCCTCTCCGTAAATAAATTAGCAGTGGCAAGTTCATGAGTAATGTAGCTGTCCCCTCCTCACGCCGTCCTGCTGAATCACACACAGACCTCCCTACCCTCCCTGTTTACACCCCCCCCCCCATCATACAGTTATTATTTATTCTCACTGATACCTCCCCATTTGCTGCCTCCATCCATCTCCCCACATTACTCACCTCCCTCCTTCTCCACCTCATTGCTCTCCAGCTCCCCCTTCACTTTCCAGGTCCCTGCAGGGGGAGTGCCGTAGGAAATTTGCGTATCATCGTGATTAATGGCTTTGATCTGTTTGCTTGACCCCGCCCCCCCATCATCCTGGCTCACTGTCACTTCCTCTCAAACCATTTTCATTCCAGCAGCTTAAACAACCAAAGTGTCTTCATTAGCTAAATTAAATCATGTTGCAAAACTGTGGCTGCACGCTAAACTCTCTACAAATGTCTTAAAGTTAAAATTAGCAACATGTTGCTAAAATGTCAACGTGGCTAAAAATGAGCCAAAACGGTACCTAAAACTATAAAAGCAGCAATTATAAGCTAAATGCTAAAACTAAGTTGCAGCTAAAATTAGCACAACTATAGCTAAAATCTAATAATGATCATTGCTTAAACTTACAATTAGCTAAAAATTTGCCAAACGTTAGCTTTTAGCTATTGTGCTTTACTAAGATTAGCACAAGACTGGCTAAATGCTAATATTGAGTAAACAATAGCTAAAGGCCAAAGTGAGCTAAACGGTTCCTAAAACTAAAAAACACCCAATAATAAGATAAATGTTAAAATTAACAAACTTACAGCTAAAAGCTAAGCTTAAGCTTACAATTGGTTAATTACTAGCCAAGCAAAAGTATAGTTTAATAGCTAAAAGCTAAGATTAGCAAAAGGGTGGCTAGATGCTAATTTTGGGTAATTAATAGCTAAAGGCCAAAGTGAGCTAAACGGTACCTACAACTAAAAAAACAGCCAATTATAAGCTAAACGCTAAAATTAACTAAGTTGGAGCTAAATCTAAAAATAGCACAACTATAGCATAAACCTATAACAGTCAGTGCTTTAACAATTAGCTAAATATTTCCAAATGCCTATTTGTAACACAACAGCTAAAAGCTAAGATTAGCAAAAGGCTGTCTAAATTTGGTAAACAATAGCTAAAGGCCAACGTGAGCTAAACTATCAAAATTGTTCATCTAGTCGATATTTAAACATTTTTAAACCGTTTTTTGTGACAGACTGTAAACATTAAGTTGAATATGTGCATTCAGTAACAAGTTTCATGCAAATCCATCCATTAGTCCATGAGATATTTTGCTAACAGATGAACAGGGTTGTTTCTAGCAGTCGATGCCAGTCTTAAGTTAAGATCTTGTAATGTGTTATGTTTTGCAGATAAAATACGAGAATAAAGTTCAGAATCTGTAAACTTGTCTGAGTTAAAGCCGTTTAGTCTTTTCTATCGTCGCTCGTCTGAGGCTGGAATGTTTATTGTTGTTTGCTCGAGAAGTTAATCAGCTGCAGAAGCAAATCTAATGATTCTCTGAAAGGTTGGTTAAAAATCCTTCCTGTGCTTCATGACACAGCAGGCAGCCAGTTGACTCCAAATAGCTGTTAGTGTTTTAAACAACGCTCTTCTGTTGGCGCTCCAAACATCTGTTGAACAACCTCAACATCTGTAAGACTCACCATGTTTTTTTTCAATGGCGGTGACCGTGGCAGCCATCTTGAATCAGGTTGACTCCAAAAGAGAATTCTTTGTAGACGTACGTCTGATTCGTCTAATGAAAGTTTCATTAACTTTTGTCCAGTGGTTCGTGACTTATTTTGCTAAATCACTCAAAGCTTCGTCCGCTTCGTGCGGCAGCAGCTGATGAAGTGAGGAAAACTTAACGCAGCAGAAATCATCGTGAAGATCCTCTACGATATTACAACAATCGGATGTTTGACACATTTTGACATTTTACAAGATTTCCAGGCGAAAAAGCTTAGAGTTGCATAAGAATATATATTTTCAGTTTAAAATTAGACGTCAGACGACGCAGTGTGTTTGATTTGGTGCCAAATAAAACGCACTCGGCAGCACATTGTGTTGTAATAAAACCACACACACTCGTCAGACTGGTAATCCTCTGGTGGCACAAATAAACACACTGACACACAATATGTCTTGTTTATTTGCTGAAACAAAAGCTCTGGATGTGTGTGTGTGTGCGTTGCGTTCACAGTAACACGGCTACAGTCGGCGCTCATTGCTGTAGTGGAAAAACCTGATTAAGACGCCGGGGCAAAGGCAGTAATGAGGGATTTACCACAAGCAGCTCGGATAATGACTCGAGTACACATTTGTCTCCAGTTATTTTCTCCCGCAGGCTCCGGAAGCTCCGGTTCATGAAAATATCGGGGCTACTCACTCAGGTACAGTCACATTTATGAGCAGCGAGGTGGAAACGGCTGTAAGTCCCGACCCAGATGTGCGTCGTTATCAGAGTTGTGTGCGCGTGTTGACGGCGTGTTTGTGACGGCTCGCTGCGTTCAGTCGGCCGTGACGGCGTCGCCCGATTCGACTGGGAGTTCAAAAACAAAACTCCAGGTGATGTTTGCTCAACGTGATGTCTCTCTCTGCAGGTTCTGCGAGGTGGCCAAAGAGAACGGCATGGACATTTTCCGAGTGTTTGACTCCCTGAACTACGTGCCCAACATGCTGCTGGGGATGGAAGCCGCCGGAGCGGCGGGTGGCGTCGTCGAGGCCGCCATCTCGTACACCGGCGACGTCTCCGACCCAATGAGGCAGAAATATTCCCTGGATTACTACCTGAAACTGGCCGACGAGCTCGTCAAAGCTGGGACCCACATCCTCTGTATCAAGGTGAGGACTTGTAGGGTCCAGGTGGTGTTTGTGTCCTCCACGAATAAATCCCGTCTGCCGACGCCACATTTCCTCTGGAGTCGGCCTGCTTCACAAAAACCGAAGAAAGTACAAATTAAGAAAAAGCAATAAGTCTAAACTACCACTGAACTGGCTAAAGCTGTTTTTTTTATATATATATTTACTAAATGGCCTCTGAGTATATATGCTTTATTTATTTTCTCATTTTTTTATTCTAGTTGAACTTTTTATTTGGCTCATCAGACAATCAAGTTTCATGTGAGCAAACATCGTGTTCAGTTAAAGTGAGGTTCTTTGAAAGAGTAATGAATAAATACCGTAATTTCCGGACTATTGACTGCACCTGAATATAAGCCACACCCACTAAATAAAAAAATATATAAATGCACATGTATATAGACCACACTTGTCTATAAGTTGCAGGTGTCCCAGTTGTAACATGAGATATTTACACAAAGATTTTTTTTTTTTACTTTTAATTAAATATGTACAGGTAGCGTACACAAATATGTACATTATTTATTTTTTTATGAACAGTGCCTACAACGAGGCTGGTTAAAAATAAATAAATACAGTGGCCTACCAGGAAGTCATTGAACACCATCTTCCTCCTGTGCACTAAAACCCCTCAAGTCATTTTCTTCTGTCAGTAATTAATTGGTCAATTTATTTTTTTAACCTTTATTCAAATGTAGTCTCACGAGGACCCACCCCACAAGAGAGACGTGTACTGGGCAGCTGTTTGAGCGCCCGAGTGTGACGAGGCTAACATGAAGCTCATTAGTCCGTCAAAAAGAAAGATCTTCTTTTGGTTTTTCCCTCTTCCTGAAGAGCCATCTCACACGTAAAAAAAAATAATAATAATTTAAATTAGCCACAGCATTGTTTAAGTCATGGTGTTCAAAGTTTGTGAAAATGTAGTGGCCTATAGTCTGGAAATTACGGTAATATCTTACCTGGTAGATCATGATTGATTTATGGCAGCAATCAAAGCAGAAAGCATCTTTTTATAGGCACTCTCTGATTGACTAAAATGGCACAAATTATCACTTTAAACTGCATAAACAAGCATTTAGTTGTATTACTTTTAACGGGTTTGCTACGTAACTCAGTCATAAGCAGCAAAATGTTGCTAAGTTAAGGAAATCTTTTAATTCTCTAATTACCAGGATGCATCTTGATGAATTAACAGTTTTATGCATTCATTAAACGCTTGGTAAACTAAAAAAAACAAAACCTTTAAGGTTCACTGATAAACATGGTTCATCTTAATCAGCTGGTTCCATGTAAAATGACTCGTTTACCTGCGTTTTCTTAACGAGCGTTGCCCGCAAATATTAATAATGATCAACTTCTTCACTCAGGCGTGACAGAAAATTAGAGACGAGATGATGAAAGTGTCGTTCTGCTGCATCGTGACTCGTCGCACTCTGCAGTAGACTTGTACAAATTCAGTTTGTAATTATCAAATGGAGCACAGCTAAGATTTTATTGTGAATTTTACCAGTTTCAGGTGTAGGAAATATCATCTTTAATCCTCTGGTAAGTCGGCGTTAGGTCTACAACATGCCTCTTGACAGTGACTCAGAGCCGCATGTTTTATGTTAAACTAGAGGTGCTTCAGTTTATGTACTTGCTATCAGAGTCAGAGTCAGAGTTTCTTTATTGTCATTCGCACCTCATGTGGTACATGTGGTGGAGCGAAATTATGTACACAGGGTCCCAGTTACATCCAACAATAAAATGTATAAGAAAAACAGTAATAACATCTAAGATATGAACTAAGAAAAACATCAACTAAATATACACTAAGCACTCATAACATAAAATCATTGAACATCAGCACAAACATGAACATGAGTCTGTGAGCAGATGTGCACGCATGAACACATCAACATTGAAACAGATCAGCAGCAACATGAAACAGATCAGCAGCAACATGATATGGTTTTTCACAGTGATTATTCTAGTTAGAGATTCATGAGTCTAACAGCCTCAGGGTAGAAGCTGTTCCTCAGTCTAGTGGTTCTACACTTAATGCTCCTTAACCTCCTTCCTGAGGGGAGTGGGGCAAAAAGTGTGTGTGCTGGGTGGGTGGGGTCCTTCATGATGCAGGTAGCCCTCTTCCTGCATCTGGAGGTGTAGATGTCTGTGATGGTGGGGAGACTGATTCCAACAGATTTCTGTGCAGCCTTCACCACTCTCTGCAAAGCTTTTCTTTCTGCAGCTGTGCAGCCTCCATGCCACACATTGATGCTCGAGCACAGGATGCTCTCCACTGCACACCTGTAGAAGGAGGTGAGGACTGAGCTTCCCAGACCAGCTCGCCTCAGCCGTCTGAGGAAGTAGAGTCTCTGATGAGCTTTCTTGATCAGGCTGGTGGTGTTGTTGCTCCAGCTGAGGTTGTCATTCATGTGTACACCCAAGTACTTGTAGCTGGAGACCACTTCCACTGCAGATCCTCTTATGTTCAGGGGGGTGTAGGTGTTTTTGTTCCTTCTGAAGTCCACAATCATCTCCTTTGTCTTCTTCACATTGATGTGAAGGTTATTCTCTCTGCACCAGCTCTCCAGGTGTTCCACCTCCTGCCTGTAGCTGGACTCATCATTGTTTGTGATGCATCCCACCACCGCTGTATCATCTGCAAACTTTACAATGTGACAGCCTGGATGGGTAGCTGCACAATCATATGTGAGCAGAGTAAACAGGAGGGGGCTCAACACACATCCCTGAGGAGAGCCAGTGCTGAGGGTTATGGTGGAGGAGGAGAGGTTGTGGATCCTCACTAACTGTGGTCTGTTTGTTAAAAAGTCTAGTACCCAGTTGCAGATGGAGGGGCTTAGTCCTAGTGTGGATAGTTTGTCCATTAGGGTTTGGGGGATACTATACTGAGTAATTACTGAGTTATACGTAAACATTACACAACTTTAGAAACGCATTCATTTTATTAAAAAAATGAAGCAAATGGTCTTCTGTCTCATCACCAGTGTTTACCTTAAAATGTCTAAACTATTGGCATTTATTTTGTGTTTTGTTACTTGCAAAGATAAAAAGGAAATGACATCACTAAGTATAAAGGTCATGTCAGATCAGTTTGAAGTATCAGGGTGTTTTTATCAGTACAACGAGTACTTGAGGCTGGTATCGAGTCTAATACTGAAACTTGTATCGGAACAGCACTGGATAAAATGGAATCTACCGTCATTTAAATTATTTACCTTTAGAAGGTCTCTTAAGGAAAAATCAGCCTCACATTTATTTTTGTACGTGATTTTTATTATTTTTGCTGTCACACTTTTTTATTTGTTTACAAACCTAAAAGTCTTTCTAAATTTTAAACTTTCAAATGCCTCCGTAACCCCTCAATAACATTACTACCCTCTAGTGTTCCTAAGCGGAATAATCAACCATATAGAAATCCCTTTATAAATGCATGTTTTGAGTCCCTAATGCTAGTAGTGAATCCACCATGCTGCAGCAGCTGGTAGTGTATCTGCTTCAAAAGCAGCAAATAATAATAATAATAAACTAAATGAAAACTGCAGTTATGCATGAGTGGAGTTTTAGGGGGAAAAAATACATAAAAAAAATTAAAAACTGATCAAATAAAAAAAATGTTGAACAACCGAGCCAAACATGTGAGTTGTACCAAAAACAAGGCTTCATCTTCGGCTACCTGATCTGGAGGGTCTTCACAAAACTCCAGACTGGAATATTTACTCTTTTTTTTTTATTCAAAAAATTAATTTGGGTGTACTAATGGGGGAAAATGACTTTTTTTTTCTTGTTCTCAAATGTCACAAAAGGTATTTATTCATTTATTTACTAAAATGTGACGTTTCTTAAAACCAAACGCCCTTAACGGTGTGTTTTAATCATTTACATTTGATATTTTCATTTTTAGCTGATATAGCTCTAACAGAATGACTAGTTTTTTGTGGGAAAATATTTTAAAAAATGGTATTTTCAAGCAGTTGTGTAAGTTGATCCCCCTAAAGAACACTCATAAAAGTGAAGGACCATAAGTTTTCTCGCGTTATATTGTCCGGACAGATTATGTCGAGTGCAAAGCAGCTGTAAAACGTCACAGAAAATGTAACAAATTTTACGTGTTTTTAGCTTATCGAGCAGTTAATGCTAATCTAACGGGAATAATTCTCCCCACAGTGACAGCTTTATCAACTCTAAGAAAGGGCATCTTGATGCACGGCTGCTGTTGGCTCAACCACCAAACGGTCCGTTTAGATTTAGTTGTGTCCCATTTATCCTAAGGTTTTCATCAGTCGTACCGCTTGTATTAAAATGTTGATTTGGTTGTAAATATTGCAGAATGCACGTTTTAGCTCAGTTCTCACTCGTCTGTTGGGTTCAGATATTGACAAAGTGCACATTGCTGATATAAAGACTTGTATTTTCCTCCATAAAGAAAAAAAAAGTTTATTATCACAAATAATTGGATTCTTGTGCTGATCGGAAGCCAGATGAGGCCACCGTTTATCTGAAAGCGATGCAGATTTTTACAAGTTTCGACCTAATCAGGCGGCCATTATTCAGTTATCGTGCGAAATCACCGGAGTGCTCGTTTAAACAAGACACGGACACGTCGAGTCGTCTTTTAGCTGATGCAAAGCGATGCGTGTCTGAAGGGAGCTTTATGATCATCATGTCACCAACCTATACTTTACCTGTCAAACTAAATGTTTTCTGACGTGACAGTTTCTATTGTGGGTTTAAAGTAGGGCCCCGTGTACCGGAGTGCACTTCGGTTCACCGAGCTTCATCCCAGAACAAAGAAATGTAACCTTCACTGTTTTAACTCCACGTGGTTTTATCAAATATTACTCAAATCTGTTTTAATATACCCGCAGTAAACCCAACTCCATCATTTTGGACCAAGCCAAGATGGCCACCTTAGCTAAAAGGGAAAACTATGATAACTCGGCTATTTTAAAAGATATTGAACTGAAATTTGGTGTGGTGGTAGCTGACGGTGATGCACAACACACTCTGAATTCAAATCTAAAAATTTAACATGGTCGCAAATGCTAATTTCAAATAGATATAACTCTAGATGCTGATCGCAAATAAAAAATATCAAAGATGGCCGCATGAGCTAAAAAGGAAAATGGTATAAATCAGCCATTTTTACAGATGTTAAGCTAAAATTTGGTGTGGTGGTAGCTGAGAGCAATGCTCTATTATATTCAAATAAAGATCCAAGATGGCCACCTTACTTAAAAGGGAAAACTATGATAACTCGGCTATTTTAAAAGATGTAGAGCAGAAATTTGGTGTGGTGGTAGCTGACAGCGTTTCACAACACACTCAGAATTCAAATCTAAAAATTCAAAATGGTCGCAAAAGCTAATTTTATACGTCTATAACTCAGCTGTTTTTAGGGCTATTCAGCTGAAACTTGGTATATTGGTAGCTGAGAACAATCCCTAATAAATTCTGGTTGCAAATCAAAAATCCAAGATGACTGTCTGAGCTAAGAAAGAAAAAAACACTATAAATCAGCCATTTTTTGGGGATATTGAGCTGAAATTTGGTGTGGTGGTAGCTGAGAGCAATGCCCATTAAATCCTGAATTTAAATAAAAAAAAATCCAAGATGGCTGCCTGAGCTAAAAAGGAAAAATGCTATAAATCAGCCGTTTTACAGATGTTAAGCTGATATTTGGTGTGGTGGTACCTGAGAACAATGCTCAATAAATATTGAATTCAAATAAAAAATTCAAGATGGCCACCAAAGCTAGATTTAAATGGCTTTAACTCGGCTGTTTTTTACACACAGAGCTGAAATTTGGTGTGGTTTTAGCTGAGAACGTTCCCCATCACCTACTGAATCCAAATCAACAATCCAACATGGCCGCCATAGCTTTAAAGAAAAAATGACAATAACTTGTTGATTTTTTTTCTGTCTTGAGCTGATATTTGGTTTAGTGGTAGCTGAGAGAGAACCTAAACACAGTGTGGTCAAATCAAAAAAATTAAATGGCCGCAACATGGCAGTCCCCGTCGAAACTTCTCCGGGAACTTTCTAATCTTTGTTTTTGTTTTTGAGGAGTATAAACATCTTCGTGACGTTTCCTCGGTGTTTTCTCTCCAGGATATGGCCGGCCTGCTGAAGCCCCAGTCCAGCAAGCTGCTGGTCAGCGCTCTGAGGGACCGTTTCCCAGATGTGCCCATTCACGTGCACACGCACGACACAGCCGGAGCAGGTGTGGCGGCCATGTTGGCCTGTGCTGAAGCTGGAGCTGATGTTGTTGATGTGGCGGTGAGTATTTAACCTTCCGACCAGAACCAGCTGCTGCTCTATATTCTGGACCTGGTTGTCATTTTTAAATCAGTTTGACTGACAGCTGTCACCTGACTGTATTTACTAAAAGTTTTCATTTTGTGCCCAAATGTGTTGATTTATTTTAATATCCGGCTGCTATTTGAAATGTTAGACAGCCAAAGGCAGACAGACTGTTATAGTCTTCATCCGTCCATAAACTTTCTTCTCTCACCCATCATTTCTCATCCTCTCAAAATAGTTTAATGAAACTTCATAAAGATAGGCTCCAAGGTCAAATGTTGGACAAGGTTGTTTCTCGTCCTGGGCATTTCAGTTCAGTTTATTTATATATCGCCAAGTCACAACAGGAGTTGTCTGAGGGCACAGAACAAAAACATACGTAAAAATCCAATCTGTCTAAGGAAGGAAGCCAGCAGACTCGTTGTACCTTCACTTCATCAGTCTCCCATCCTGAGCAAGCACAACTGCAACAGTGGAAAGGAAAAACTCCCAGCAGAACCAGGCTCAGGATGAGCGGCCATCTGCTTCGACCGGCTGAGTTTGAGAGGACAGGAAGTAGAAACCGACGGAGTGACGGGTCCAGGTGTAGCTTCTACTGAAAGAAAGACAAAAAAAAAAACATGTCAAGGATAGAAAAATAATTACAAATACAAAACAGATGAGAGTAAGTAAAGACAGCAGCATAGTGAAGAAGTGTGGTCAGTTTGTCCTCCAGCAGTCTAAGCCTATAGCATCATAACTAAGGGATAGCTCCGGAAACCCGAGCCAACCCTAACTATAGGATTTAACTAAAAGTAAAGTCTTGAGCCCAGTCTTAAAACTGGACAACGTGTCAGCCTCACAGACAGAAACCAGAAACTGGAAGTTGGTTCCACAAGAGAGGAGCCTGAGAACTGAAAGATCTTCCTCACATTCTGCTTTTTGAAACTCTAGGAACCACAAGTAAACCTGCGGTCTAAGAATGAAGTGCTCTGTTTGGAAAGTATTGAACAATAAGATCTGTAATATAAGATGGAGCTAGGTTGTTGAGGGCTTTGTAGGTTAGAAGTAAGATTTTGAATTCAATTCTGGATTTGACGGAACCAGTGGAGAGAAGCTAAAACTGGAGAGAGATGATCTCTCCCACTAACTCCAGTTAAGACTCTGGCAGCAGCATTTTGGATCAACTGAAGACGTTTTAAAGAAGTTTTTGGACACCCAGGTAATAAACCATTGCAATAGTCCAGTCTAGACGTGACAAATGCAAGTCAGGTGGGTTTACAAAAAAGTGTTTCGTCTTTCACCTGAAAGACTTCTTCAGTCTTCTAGACCTTCTCCAGGTGCTGGTTGATCCACTATGAAAAGGTGCCATTTAAAAGACTGAGCTGAGTACAGCTCGTCTGACTGAAGAAGTCTTTCGGATGAAAGACGAAACGTTTCTACAGTTTTCATTCTTAACCCATCCAGAGGACGTGACTTAAATGTTTTATATTTTTCTGCATGCATCAGTATATTGTTTTGGATAAGATGTTTCTAATGGTGATATTTGCTATAGATTGGTTATTGGTTATATATATGTTGCTGTATAATAGTTTGTCGATGTGTGTAGAACGTGTTGTAAACAGTTCTCTTATTATAGTCTTTAAAGTCGTCCTAATCAAAACTTCCTGTAGTGTTTGGAATGTGTCCCAAAATTTTCCTTTGGACTTTGTTCAATGTCGAGAACTGTTTGATTCAAGATGGCTGCCACAGCTACCTCAGCAAACACAAAATTAACTAACTTGGTCATTCTTTGAGATATTGAGCTGAAATTTCTTGTGGTTGTAGTTGAGAGCGAGTTGTTATACATTCCTAATGACAATCAAATATCCAAGATGGCCACCTTTAGCTGAAAGAGAAAAATATATAATAACTTTGCCATTTTTAAAGATATTGAACTGGAATTTGGCGTATTGGAAGCTGACAATGATCCCTAATAGACTGACTGAAAATCGAAAATCCAAGATGGCCACCTAAGCAAAAATACTATTAAGTCTGTCAATTTTAGTGATATTAAGCTGAAACTTGGTGTGGTAATAGCTGAGAATGTTTCCTATCAAATGCTGTTCAAAATCAAAAATCCAAGATGGCCGCCAACGCTACTTTTAAATGGCTTTAACTCGGCCATTTTTACACATACAGAGCTGAAATTTGGTGAGCTTATAGCGGAGAACGATCCCTATCACATTCTGAATCCAAATTTAAAAATCCAAGATGGCCACCTTAGCTAAAAAAGAAAAAAGAAAATCACTCAGATATTTTTACTGCTATTCAGCTGAAATTTGGTATAGTGGAAGCTGAGAGTTAACCCCAACAGTTAGTACTTCCATATCAACATTTTAAATCATCAGCAGCCTGGCAGTCCCCGTCAAAGTTTCTCCAGGAACTTTCTAGTTGGTAAGTGCTACTCTGCGTAAAGTAATTCTAACATAACCATAGCATATTTTTATGTACAAGTCCAAATTCAGAAATATTGGAACTTCACACAAGTTTATTTTTGACTGTTTAATTTGGACTTCTGACGTGCAAGAACCATGTTTCCTTTTTGTTAAGGGAAGTAACAAACAGGAAGGGGTGAAAACTTGAGTTTGTTGGTTTACTCTCGAGCTAAAGAGGCTAACAGTTTTCTCATTGGTAGTTTTCATAAACTCAACTAAAGAAACGGAAACAAGTTGTCTTTGTGTGAGTGATGGCAACGCAGTTCCTGCAACTCTCTTGTAAAAGTTCTCATTTGTTTGACACATCTTTGTTGTTGAGCCTTTTTTAGGACTGAATGATTCACGTCGGAGTTGAGGGGCTTCACAACCGAAACAAACTCAAACATTCTTCAGAAAAGCCACTACTAGACTGAAATGTCTTCAAAAAAGCAAGACTCCAAATGAAAAGCGTCAGGAAGCCTGAAAAAACTAAAGTCCATTCTAAAAGATTCCAAGAACTTGTCTTTTTGAAAGAAACTAATATTTTTAAAATTAATGTTCGTTTTTTTTGAGGATTGTGCAGAGTTCATTTTTCAAACGTCCTTATTTTCAGGTAAAAAGTTTGAGAGGAATGTAATTTTTAAAGTACTAACTCTGTATTTTGTGTTATTTCTCCGTTTAAACTAAAACTGGACATTTCTGTGCAGCTTGATTTTTTTCAGACGTTCACTCCTTTATTTAATAAATCCAGTTTATGAAGCGTTTGCATTTATTTGTTGTTTTTGTCTTTAGGTTGACTCAATGGCCGGAATGACGTCTCAGCCCAGCATGGGGGCCATCGTTGCCTGTACCAAGGGGACCAAGTACGACACCGGTGAGTGACGAACTCTAGGAGACATGTTGGTAAAACGTTGGTTGCATTTCTGCCCCCGTCGTGGAGCGGAGTGGACATCGAAATTTGGACATTTCTTCGTCCATTTTGTTCATCTTGTGAGCTGGATAACTTTAAAATCATATGAGGTACCTTATTCCATTTTGGTGTGCGGCTGCATCTTGATGTAAGAAAGCTCACCATCAAATTTAAGGTGCCACGTCAAAATTCAAGATGGCCACCCTGGTAAATATATGTAAAACGGCCACAGCAATAATTCTACTAAACTGCGCTTTCTAGTTTTTATATTGCTTAAAAGTAATTTCCTCAAATGACTGGGAGCCTTAATCTATGGTGGCCAAGGCCACCGTTGGCCACCCCCTAGCTCCGCCTTTGTACCTGGTGATGGATAAACTTGCTCCCTTTACTCACCAGGATCCATCACTCTGCGCCGCCTCAGAAAAGATTTAAAAAACTACCTCTGTTCTTCTAAATGGTGTAACTCCTACCTACTTGAATATCCCAGTTAAATTCCAGTTTAGAAAAACACTCCTCTCGAAAACGACGACCAGAGAGTGATTTTAGCTTCACGTTTGTTTCCTGCTCTGACTTGTTTGTTTACAGCACTGAAACTGAAGGTCTCACGGTCAAAACAAACAAGTCGTTCAACATATCCAACAAAGTTAAGTCTGGTCCTCTGGACGTTTTCTTCGTGTTGAAACGTTTCGTCTTTCATCCAAAAGACTTCATCAGTCTGAGGAACCACAACAAACTCAATCTTATAAATAGCACCTTCTCAGTCGAAGGTGAGGTAGAAGGTGAAGGTAGCGGACGAAACGTTTCAAGCAGTGCTTAATTTGTACACCAAACAATGCCAGAATGCAAATAGCGGGGGAGGAGGGATTTGGGAGTCCTCCCCAATAAATTTCTGAATAAAGTAGATGCCATTTCCTGCATTCTGATGTATTTTAACGGATTGCTAAACATCTACATTTACCTGCACAAGTAAACGCTTGATTCAATAACTATTTTAGAGAGCAACAAGAAATAGCCTGACCAACAGCTCCCCTTATGTGGATAGAGCACGCTCCACTTCTCTCAAGCACACCCCCGCTCCACCCCGTGTTAAGTACTCTGTTGCCACTACCTTCATATGCTTCAATTCTCAGTTGTTTAGTTGTGCATGGAGAAGCCTTTTTTTTTTTTTACGCAAGTAAATTGGACTGTGTTTTCGACATTTCGATCACTGTTATTTTGACAAATTTGCACTATTGTTTTGATACGTTATGTACATAATGTCACATCAAACATTTCTCTCATATTTTTAATAACCAAAATGTTATTAATGACCCATTTAAACTGTAAAACTGGTTTGCAGTTTAGTTGTGCTGTTTAATTATATTTGTGTTTTTAATTAAATTACCCATAACTGTAATGGGTGCAGATTTTCTTGAGGGTAGAAGTAGAAATGCTTACTTGAAGGAGCAGATCTTACGTCAAGTCAAGTCATCTTTATTTGTAGAGCACAATTTAAAACAGATAAACTGTTATCAAAGTGCTTAACAGAAATGTAGCAAAACATAGGCAGCAAAACAAAAACATCATACAGAATTAAAATTACTGGAGCAATAACACACACTAATGATCACACTAAGGAAAAACAAGCAGTAAAAATAAACGTCAATCATAAAACAACAGAATTTAAAATGAGGTACACAGAACAAAATAAACTAACTCACACTGTATTAAACGCCAGAGCAAACAGGTGCGTTTTAAGGAGGGATTTGAACATCAGGAGGGAGGAGGCCTGCCTGATGTTGAGGGGCAGGTTGTTCCACAGGTTGGGACCTCTGACTGAAAAAGCTCGATCCCCTCGGAGCTTCAGGCGTGATTTTGGAACGACCAAAAGAAGCTGGTCCGATGATCTCAGGGCCCGAGACGGAACATATGGTTCCAGGAGCTCGGAGAGGTAGAGGGGTGCGAGGCCATTTAGGCACTTATATGTCAGGAGGAGAATCTTGAAGTCGATTCTGGATCGCACAGGAAGCCAGTGAAGGGAGGACAGAACAGGTGTGATGTGCTCAGACCTACGTGTACCAGTTAAAAGCCGAGCAGCTGCATTTTGGACGAGCTGGAGACGTGAAATGGACGCCTGACTGACCCCAGCATAAAGTGAGTTACAATAGTCCAGGCGGGTTGTGATGAAGGCATGGACTAATGTTTCAAGGTTGGGTCTGGATAACACTGGCTTGAGCTTAGCAACCTGCCGCAGTTGGAAAAAACTTTTCTGCAGAACTGAACTGATCTGTTTGTCAAACTTAAAATCCGAGTCAAAAACTACCCCGAGATTTCTAACAGTGTGCTTGAGATAGGGCTGAAGTGAGTCCAGGTTTGCAGGATCTGAGGAGGCAGCTGAGCTAGGACTAAAGACGATGACTTCAGACGTTATGACTACGTGATATTAAGAAGCTCGTAAGTGGCTGTTATGTTTAAAATGAGTGTTTATGTAATTATTTTCAGATTACATATCCAATATAGGTTTTATTTGTTCAAGACGGTCAAATTTGTTCATAACTTTATTATTAGTAAGACTGAGTTTTACCAGATCCAAGCAAACAGTTACCGGAACACACCCTGTCAAAATAAGAGTTTTCCCGGATCCTGTTTCAGCAGGATCCAGCTCAAATTAAGCCCTGGTTTGAACACACAGAAAATGTCCAGGAGACCTGACTGAACTTTGTTGGATTTTTCTACCTGAATTTTTGAGCATGAATCAGGATCGTTCAACATGTTTTGGCTCTGGCAGCAGAGAGAAAGCTGCAGCTGTTTGAAAAACTGCCCGGCAACAACACGGAATATAAAACCACACCGAGCCCGTCTCGAACTGGGCACAACCAGGAAGTGACTGCAATCAACAGTTTTTGGGCAAATTCTGTTATTTTTTTTACGATCTGTTAATTAAAAATAAAAACGCATCAGCTTTAGAACATTAAGCTTTTATTACAGTTCATAGATGTTAATGTGTCTTGCGAAGAAATAAGATTTGAGTCTTTCTGAAAAGAGCGCTGCTTAACACGAGGGAGGGAAATCAATCAGCAAATCAATGGTGCGTTTGTAATTACGGCCCTGAGCTGCAAAGACCTGCAGATTCTGCTGAGTAACAATGCACGCCATCTTTCTGTAGCAAGATGCTGAGGAGAGGGAGGTGCAGCAGATGAAAGGAGTCTGTCAATAAATGGAGCTGCGTTGGTTAGCAGAACATTTTTTATCTATAAATTACTTTTTTCAGACAGCTGTGGCTACAAGATGCGGTTATTTTCATCACAATAAAAGCAAAAAGTGAAAGCCTGCTGGCCTCTTCAGCTGCTTCTCCGCTCTGACAACGGGGCGTCTTTCTGTGGAGCGAAGTCTCCACGACGACCTCTGTATGATTATTCATCATTTGCTTTCCAGCAGCAGCCTGCCAGGTCCGATCAGAGATCTGTGAGGCCTTTAGACCCCTCTCAGGAGGTCGAGAGATAAGTTCAGAGATGGATGTTGTGTTCGTTCCCTCGTCTTTTTTTTTTTTTTTTTTTGTCCACCGTGTTCCGAACTATATAATTTTCATGTGTTGTGGGAAGAGGGAAATAAGCCAAACTGAATCCGCTCCACAGCTGCTAACCGACCGGTGCTTTGTGACCTCCGCACCTCCCACAGCGAAGGAGAGCCGAGCGAAAAATACATTAAAACCATCGGCTGTGAAATGTGTAAAAACTGAAGGAACGCGAAACGGACCAAAGGAATTAAAACCGATTCGAGGTTCGCTGCTTGTGTAGAGGAATTCTGCAGGGACCGCTGACTCAGCTCCGCTAACTGGATCCGATCGCTCGTTTCCTTTTTGGATCAGAACCACGAGAAGCTAAATGTGTTTACGTTCACGCTGAACTAATAATGTCCCGTATGCTCGGCTGGTCCAGGAAATTTGCTCCATTGTGCACAGTTTGCTTCTGTTTTGTAGTGCAGTGCATAAAACGTATTAAATTAGCAAATTAATTTAGTTTAAATCCTATTTGTAATCACTGATAAGAGTTTTAAACACATTTTAGAGCTTGCCTGGTCCTTTCTGAAAGCCTTAATTAGGCCACTTAATTGCTGCTTGACCCGGTTTCTACTTCTAAAAAAAAATGCTAATGTTTAAAAGTAAACGGACATCACACCCGTGTACAGCACGTTTAGTATGTTTATTAAATTAGTTTTGTGGATTCTTTGTCATGTAGTTTGAAGAAGTTTTCACTATTCTGATCATCAATGTAATATTTTCTCTATGTGAGCAGACGGGATATAATTGATAGATTATGGATGGGTTTTGTACACCTTATGGCGTATCATTAACGTAAAGGGTTTAATTGTTAAACATTCAAGGTCTTAAAAGGTTTTAATCATGAGCTGAAAAGCAAAGTTTAAATAATAGTACTGTATTTTTCGCCGTATAAGTCGCATCTTTTTTTTATAAATTTGCAAATCCTGCGACTTATCCACTGAAGCAACTAATGTCCCCCCCCCCCATATTTTTGGCTGAGATCTGACAATTTCATTCATTCTGACATGGAAAATATTGAACGCTACCATTTTCAGCCACTAGAGGGCCCTCGACTAATATGGCAAGCCAAGTGTCTCATTAATAGGTAAAAGTGGCTATTAATGAGACACTTGGCTTGCCATACCAAGCCACCTTCGTCTCGCTCCGGAACTCATGGAGCAAACATCAAGATGGGCCTGTGGTCGGAAAGTCGCAGGTTCAACTCCCAGTACATTCAACATCAAAAATATGGGTGGTAAAGATGAAACACCCACACCTCCCTCCACCCTCATTCTCCCCACTCTGGGCCCCTGAGCAAGACCCTTAACCCCCATCATCTGCTCCCTAACAGATCTCCCTTGAAAATGAGTTCTTGTGACTCAATGGGACTACCTGTATAAATAAAGGGTAAATGAAAATAATAACAATTTTGCCGCGTCGCCCA